GAAGACACCCCCTCCCCTGTAGAAAAGGAGGTGCAGATCCCGGGGGGGGGGAAAGCCCCGTTGAGGAGATTTTTTTGGGGGGGAGGGTGTAGTTGTATAAGGGACAAGGGAGGGAAGGGGAAAAGGCCCCATGGACATGCCAGAGGAAGGGAAGTGGCCTGAGGGCAAGGATGGAGTTGGAGTCCGGGAAGGCAGTGGCAAGAGTGTGGGGATGATCATCATCCTAGATCTGCAGGGCTGGAAAGGGACCCTATGGATCATCGAGTCCAGCCGTCCTCTAAGAGCCACAGTGGGGAATCGAAGTCCTCACCTTTATGGGAGGGGGGCCGGTGTTTTCATTCCTTCCCTATCCAGGGTACCTGGCAGTGCCTCTTCTGGGTGGGGGGGCAGGTGGATGGGTGGAGTGGCCTGGCCTTTGTCTGCTCCAGCACTAGATCCGAAGTGGGAGGAAGGGAGATGTAGAGTGCAGGGCAGTGAACAGCCAGGTGGGTGCTGTGGAGACTTGACAGGGAAGAGGAATCTGATGCTTCTGGAATCTGAAGTTCTGTGGGGAGATATTTTGAGGGGACCTCATGAGGAGGGTGGTGGCTGACCGCAGTAAGAAAGGTGTCTGTGGCCGGGGAGGGGAGTGCCTGATGGCTGAGAGGCATGCATGAAACTGCTAAGAAGGTCTTTTGGCAGAAGGTTAGAGATACTCATTTTTTTTTTAAGTCTTGAGAAGTAATAAATGAAGCATGAGGTGGAAAGGGGAAGAGAATCTGGCAGGGTTTCAGAGAGGATGAGAGAAGGGAGTTCTCTGGTGGGCTGGCAGGCTGAAATGATTGGTATGGTAGAAATGTATGTTTGGAATAGATTTTCCACAAAGGCAAGATTTTGTAAAGGTGAAAGAAGATGGGCAATAAAACCCTCCAGAAATAAGAGATTGGGTCAATTAAGGGGCTAGAGAGGCATGAGGTTGCTTCCCATGCATCATACAGAAATTAGCAAAGAATGGTTTGTAGATGTGGAGTAAGCTGTAAATGGTGATGTGCCCAAGATAAAGGTAAAGGTGAGAGAGAAACAGGCCTCAGGAAGTTAGAAGTGTTGTGTTAGTAAGGACATAAAGAGAAGACAGTAAATAGATCTTGGACTGTTCAGCAGTAAAGAAAATTAGGAGTAGGTATTTGGGAAAGGGTAGAAAAGAGCACAGTAAGGAGGTACACTGGAAAAAATATTTTTTTCAGGAAGACAAATGGTTGTCAATAGGACACTTGAGTAGTAGGCAGTAAAATGAATATATTTGAAGAAATGGAGCCAAAACCACTGGCAAGACTGGGGAATTCTCCATTCCCATTTTTTTTCTTTTTGTCCTTATTAAAAATGTAATATTCAGTATGCTATTTTGTTTTGACTGGGTTCATCTTGAGTTCTGCCTGTTTCATATTGTTTTATTATGCATTTTTACTATATATTGGTGACATTTAGGGTGATAAATCATTAAATACCTTCAGTTAATTTTTAAAAGGCTGTAAATGTTAATAACTTTTCCTTGAAAGTGAAAAGGAGGATCATCCCTGGGGATAGAGTTGATTCTCAACACCCCAAGTTCTAACTTGCCTTCTAAAATGTTATATGAAAATATTTCACAATTTGAATGTTGCTTTGTCAGTTTAATATATTTCTACTTGTTTGTGGCATCACTTGTGTTTTTTTGTAACTCACTTTTTCTGCTCTTTTCCTAGTTATGAATATTCTGCTTCACATTATGGACTGAACCAGCTCCGACCTGGTTTTGATTGGAAGGAGGAAAAGAATACTGCTACATCTGTAACATTGCATTTTGGCAATAGTTTGACTACAGAACTGATAATCCACAACAGGTATAACTGTTCTGCTTTTTGCTTTCTTGCCATTTGTTTTGTATTTCAGTTTTTTAAAAGATCTGCATGCTTGTTCTTACACGGTGTGTGAGGATTAAATATAATGTGTCACATTCTACTTGGAGAGGGCAGAGGTATCAGGTTTGTTTGTTTTTTTAATTTAGTAGGAAGCAGGATATGGCTAAAAGGAGCAAAAATGGATCTTTTACATTTAAAGTTTTCGGATGTATTAAAATGTTGTTGGGGGGTTAACTTTGAGGTTAGTCTTTGATAGACTGGGTTAAATTGATAAACAGATTTTTAAAGTTTCCAGTAAGAATAGAAACTTATGGGGCATTTTGCTTTGAGATGGTTGAAGATGTTGATCAGGAATACATCTATAGTACTTATAGAATATTTTAGTTTCAGTGAGCATAATTCATATGGAACAACATGCTTGGTTTTTTTATCAGAAAGTTTCACTTTTCCCTTCCTTTTTTTGATGTTTGATTCTTCTTAAAGTCATTGCTCATATTTAGCTTCTTGAAACAGCAAGACAAAAGCAGGAAGCATCCCATATTTTTTAAAAAGGTGTTCTACCTACATTAAATTGAGTGGGGGTTTTTTTGGTGAATATTACGACTGAAACAAATTTGCTGATTTAATTTTGTTATAGATAAGGTAATCTTGGAACTAGTATTGATAGAGATGTTTTCAACTGTTGGAGATCTGATTTTGACAAACCTCTCTGATTTTTGAGCTTGCACTTATCTCTCCTAGCATTTCTCTATGATCGTAAGGAGTGGACTCTTGCTTTGCTATAACTAATTTTTTAAAATTGAGGACCTCAAGCATTTGAACATGGCATTCAATATCCTCTGTTACCCTGTTGATAACCATGTCTATGCATGTCCATAGTGCTACAACAAGACTAGGTAGTTTCAAAATCCCCAGCCTAGGAAACCTATTTTGAGCAGATATCAGATGTCCTAACTGTACATGTCAGACACCTGAATTTTGTGTAATAAGTAGTATCCAATAATAAATGGATATGGAAGAACAGGTATTTCTTTTCAGGAAAAAAGTCTTAGTCTCTGTGCAGGCAACATATGATGAAACCCGTTTTAGTTCTGGTATATAGAAGTGACAACTTCAGGTATGAAGGTGTGAATCTCAAAGATGGCTAACAGTTTGATTCATTAACTGATTCTGCAAAGAGTAATCAAATTAATTAGCATGCATTTTGTTTGATTCCATTTTTGCTTTCCAGTGTAAATGAGTCAGAATGGATCAGGAAGGTGGGGGTGACTTCCAGAAAACCCCTAACTTCCAGTGGAGAAACTACAAGCTTATTGTTGATCCAGTTCTCAAGCGGGCCCCCCACAAAATATACCGCTATGATGGAGTACATTTCAGCACCAATGTAAGTGGACAGAATTCTATTCTTTTTGTGTGGGATTGTGGGAGGGGTTTGGTTGATTTCTGTTGCAGGAAAGTGGGAACTTTCTCTCATCTTTCTATGTGTAATAGTCATAACTCTCTTAAAGTGGCTCTTCATATGTTCTCCATTTCTTAAGTTTTGCTTTTCTTGCTTTTCCAAAATTCTTTATGGTGGGAGGTGAAGACACTTTTTCCCCTAGTTCTTAGAGGAAGGTAGAGTCCATGAAAAATCCGCTCAAACCACTGGATGATCAGCTCTGTAACCTATAGGCCTTGAGCTATCAGTTGCTCTGTACATTCACATGTGTGCGCTTGTTGCTTATGGTAGCAATAAGTTCATATTTCAAGGGAACACTGTGTTGAAGGCCTTTGAAATAATCATGACTTGAGCCATTTAGACCAGCTGAAATCAAACCATTCCCAATATCTTCAGCCATTATTCATTAAAGCTATAGAAACAAAATACCAAAACATAGAGACCTGGACGCTCTGCATAGCTCTAAGGAGGACCGGTGCCTAAAAATGATGTTGGCTTTGGAAGAATCAGATCAAGCTTTTAAAAATCTGTGTGTCTGTTATTGTATGGCTTATTTCATTATTGTTGACGATGTGGTAGAATACTCTTGAGGAACACCACAGGTGTTCCCCATGTTTTGATGGCTGTTGGGAATGTAGGTATTTGAGATTAGTGTGTAAAGAAAGACATGTAGCTCATTGACACCTGTTGAAGATCTAGGAAATTGCCTGAAATAGGGATCAGCAGGTGGTGCTTTGATGGGGAAGGGCAAAAATAGGCTCCTTAGCCCTTCGCTTTAACATTGCAAAAAGAAACCGAACTTTCTTTCATGTTGAAGTCCGTTGAAATAATCAAGGCTTGAATTTTGTAGATCAGTTGAAATCAGTGGAAACTTAAATTACTTTTTCTTGATTGATCAGAGGTTTACATGTACTCTGTATTGAAACAAAACATCTAAAATGTGCTTCAGCAAGAATAACATCTTATCAATTAATTTTTTTGTTTGTAGAGACTGTCTAACATTAAAAAATATTTGCATAAGCTTCTGTCACAGACTGCTAGCAGAAAATTAAAATGGCAAGACCTTCAGTGGTTTCTAGATATGTTTGTCTGCATCCTGTAGCATGCTACAAAAAATTGAGGTTCAGTGTGGGCCTTGCACATTTGCTTTAAATACACAGTTAGATCATGAATGTTGGGTAAAATGAGGCTAATGTTTTTAAATACCCATAAAAAATTTATTTTAAAATCACAATCGGTTTTTAGTTGAAAGCTCCTGTTAAATTGTCCAAAAGGACAATTTCAAAATCCTCTTAGACATGAGGCCATGCTTTGTAGCACTGGAATAATTTGCTGGTCATCGTCATCTTTGGTTGTCTGGCACACTTGAAAATGTTCTTTCTTAAACATTAACCTAGCCATGCAGCTAGGTTTGTTCATTTGTTTCATTTCTTGTCAGTTACAAATTTGTCTTTTCGTTAGCACTGTTTTAGTGCATTTGCAGGCAGATAAAAGGATCTGTTTGAAAGGATCTGCTGAAATTATATATGCAATCCAGTTATCTACCTACTTACCTACTTGATTTATATACCGCTCAGCTGGCTGAAGGCCACTCTCAGTAGTTTATAACATAGAAAAACAAAAAAGCTGTCAAAATCAAATTAAAATCATAAATCATAAAGTGACATATCTATAACTTATCCAGCATAAGTAATAACGATTAAAATACATATTACAACATAATAAATAACAGCTAAATATTTAAATTGACTGTGTATTTAATATTTTATAGTATTTTGCCTATAGCAGCAGTTTAGGTAAGTTCCATAGATGGGATATTTTAAAATGCCTGCTGTTATGTGTGAGAAAGATCAGAATATATAAGAACCATACATTTCTCCACCTATTTTACAGGTAAAACAGGATGGATAAAAAATCAATGATCAAATTGATCATGATTGAAATCACAATTTAAGTTTACAAAATGATTTTTGATTCAAATCATTAAAATGAAATTTTTAAAGGCTTAAATCATGGTTGATTTTCAACCACTTTGAATCATTGGGGCTAGGAAGAATAAGCTTCTGAGAATAGGGACGACACAGATTAACATTTCTGTCCAGCCTGCCTTGCAGTCTTTAACCATTTACTGTTAAAATACAGTCCTAAGTCCATTCCTCTGTGTGGAATTTGCATTTTTACAGTGAAGGCTGTAGGCATTTCCTTGGATTTGCTTATATACCTCTTCACCTTAAAACATTATCACAGTTTTTCTGGATGGATCTGAAGATGGATGTAAATATACACTCTCTTTCTGTCCTTAATTTTCCCATACACTTGATGACAGTAAAAGTTTTGGCATCCTGTCTCACAGACGAAATAGGCACATAAGACACCGCACACTTTAGTACTGAGAGAGATTCATTTGTCCAACTCCTGTCTGCTTGAAATGTTTTGGTTAGAGATGGGGACTTCGTATTCATATATGAATACGAAGCCCCCATCTCTCGTTCTGATTTCTGTGTCCTGAAGATGGGTGCTTCTTCCTCTGTGTACAGTTGATATTCTTCCTACATGGATTGTGAGTGCTTGAAATGCCTGGTTTTATTTGCTTAGTGTCTGTGAGCCTGGAGTCTGTTTCTGTTGCTTTGTTTTCAAATTTACCCCAGCAACTAACTAAACTGGTGGTGGCAGAGACACAGTTTTAAAGCTGTGGAAAAATATTCATTCCAAAACTGAAACTGCAAAGGTTGCTTAATACTGTGTTTATTTATTTATTTATTTGATTTATATCCTGCCCATCTGGTCTGGTCGACCACTCTGGGTGTTGTCAACCTTTCATTATTACTAGCGCATTTTATAAAATAATTATTTTTAGAAATTAAGAGTAGTGCATAAGCACTTAGCAAAGTCCTTTATAATATTTGTCTTCACCATCATAACAGTTAAGACTTACTCATCCAAGGCTGTGTGAAGATTTCCTCTTCACTATTTTTCAAGTTTTTGGAGACAGAACTAAGAGAAGCTTGACTCCAAAGATATCAGTTTTTGATAAAGTATTTTGAGGAATTGTCAATTGTTTAACAAAGACATTGTCACTGTTATCTAATCAAGTCTCTCTTTCTGAAGGATTCGGGCCATGCTCCTGTGGGTGATGTGCGAGATCCCAGGCGCAGAATATGGTCAAAAAACAGAGACATTTCCCTCCCTGTCCCAAAGTTTAAGGTAAGCCAAATTCATCTGCTTATATGATATTCTTCTTCAGGTAAGTTAGTATTTATAGTCTTCCATGCCTAATGTAGCATTTGGCTTTCTTGGTGGTCCACTATATACAAAGAATGACCAAGTATGCATGAATCTGTTTGTACATCACACTATAATATGTTGGCTAAATTGTATCCTAAAGAGCAGTCCTGTGATCTCCTTACATTTGGAGGCATCTTTCCATAGTGGGGCAGTGGGACAAAGGAGAGGTTTGTGGGTGGAAAAGAATGGAAAGTGTTTATGAAAGAAATACAGGGATACATCCTTTCTGTCTTGGCTTTAGGATTAAACCGTAACAGGCCTGAGGAGAAATTCTTATGAAAGTGAGACTTGAGATGGGAGGAAAGGGAAAAGCAAATCTCAGTAATAAGAGAAAAGACAAACAGCATGGCAGTACCCACTGGCTGTTTTCGTTAATGTTGTTGCAATATGCTGGTGGGTGACCAATTTGTCCTTAGACAGTATGCAGCAGAATAGCAAAGAAGAACTTTTCCAAGAATAAATAAATTTGCCTTTAGAAGAAGGTCTGCTAATGAAGAAAATAAAAGTATATATATTTGTCTTACTACTTTTTTTTTAATTGCAGCATCAACGTTTATGCAGAAATGCTAGTTTTTATTTTTGGAAGGTACTAAAATGATAGTTAGAAAGGAATACACTTTTGACAGAATCGGCTGTGGAAGGGATATGGACAAGCTTGTAGCAGAGACGCTCAAGGGACCTAAGGAGACTAAGGATCACAATTCAATTTAGCAGTTCTGTGATTTCTGAACCTGTTCATGTCAACATGCATTAAAGATGCCTTTTGTCAGCTTGTGGGGTTGTGGGGTTTGGTAGCTGTTTTAGCCAGGCCTCTCAGCCAATCTCTTCTTTGGTTTGTCCTGCAGCTGGACGAGTTCTACGTGGGCCAGATCCCTCTGAAGGAGGTCACCTTTGCCCGGCTCAATGACAACATCAAGGAACCCTTCTTGGCTGAAATGTGCAAAAAGTATGGTGACATTGAAGAGATTGAAATCCTCTACAATCCAAAGAACCGCAAACACCTGGGTCTGGCCAAGGTGCTCTTCACCAGCACCAGGGGGGCAAAGGAAACCGTCAAGAACTTGCACAACACTTCAGTCATGGGCAACATCATTCACGCCCAGCTCGATATTAAAGGTGGTTATCTTCCTTCAGTCTCCTGCCGCCATGAGGGGGGCTAACGAAACAGTGTTGTCTCATAAGCTGAGAGTAGCATCCACCTTCCACAAATACCTTTTTCTCTCTCTAGGTCAACAGCGCATGAAGTATTATGAGCTGATTGTGAATGGCTCCTACACCCCCCAGACCGTTCCTACTGGGGGCAAAATTCCGAATGAGAAGTTCCCAGCAGACTCAGTAAGCCTATAAAGCTCTCTCATTGTATCAGTAAAAGCAGAGGTAACCATATCGGTACAAAACAGGTTCCAAAACCATATACCTTTATAATCCAGTCAAAAGGTCAGGGGAAAAACGTATGCAAGAACGTATGCAAGAACACAACCACGGTTCCCAGCTTTTGAAGATATGATCTGTTTATCAGGCCGAATGTTAAAAGTAAGCAGGGAGAAAGAAGAGGAGAACCTAGGGAAGGGGTGAACTTGTAAGTTTTGTTGTATCTGTGTATTGTTTCAGGAGGTGATGAGATGCTGGAGACAGAAGAATGGGTCTCATTGTCTGCAGCATCTTTCCACTATTGCATAGTAGTTTCAAAAGCTTACTCACTTTTTTTGCACCCTTGCATCCTTCTTATGCCTTTTGGTTGACTTGTAAAGGAATTAGTGTGGATTGCTTTGCGGATATTGGAATTTATTGTACAAGATAGTTTGCATTTGGGGGCCAGTTTCTCACACAGTGTTCAGTCAGTGAATTTTTTTCTTTCTGTTTAGAACCTACTTGTTGGTCCAGTGGCCCAAGTTGACCAGTTCAGTCTTTACACAACTTTTCAGGAGCATACGACAAGTTCTCCCACAAGGACTGAGCTGTTCTCCTTTCCTTTTACAGTCTGAGTCCAGAAGGCGCCACTCGGTTGACTCCTCCTACCCTAGTAACACGATGCCTTCAACGCCTGGCAATGGCACACCTTGTTCTCAGGACACTCCGTATTCCAGTGGCCGGCAAGACACACCTTCTTCCTATGGGCAATATACACCACAGTCATCCCAGGGGACTCCGTACACACCTCGGGGAGGAACACCATATTCCCAAGATTCTGCCTATTCCAGCAGGTAAGCAATCTCCGTACCACATCTCAATCAAGTTTTCACGGGTTGCTAAGAGAAAGGCATTCGTGAACTGCATCATTTTCTTTGTTTTCTAAGGCAGGGGACTCCAGGGTATTCTACCTATCAGTCAGAGTCAAGTTCGTACAAATCCCGCAGACATGAGAACAGCTTTTCGGACTCATACTCCCGCCGGCATTATTCTTCTTCATCATCTTCGTCCTCTTCCTCCTCCTCTTCCTCTTCTCACTACCGCAGCAATGACCATCACTATCCACCCTATAGTCAACAGTTTGATGGAGGCAGTGGCACCACTGTCACAGCCAGTAGTAGCCGGTATCAGCGCCTCTCCTCCACCTCCGAAGGGCGGTCTTCCTCTTCCTCTCATCGCTCTCACCAAAGAGAGGATTCTGGCTTCCATTCCCGACACAGGGAGCGCTCCCAGCGGGATGATGCAATTCCTTCCTCCACCGCTGCTGTTGTTGCCTCTGCCTCTACCCCCACCTCCTCATCGTCTTCATCTGTAGCAGCAACTCCAGATGGCTCTCAATTCCAAAACAGTCACAGTTTTGTTCAGCAAAGTGCAGAACATTTCCCACCTCCCAGTGTTCTCTATCCATCTTACACAGCCACTCCAGACTCCTTCTCCGTATCTACTGAATCCCATCCCGTGGACCAGGACTACCGACTTCTCCCCACCGCTGAAACATTTGCTGCCAACTCCTTGCCTCCCACAGAATTTCTTGCTCAGGAAACAAAAGAGAATATCAGCCCCGCAGTAACGACATCTCTGGGGGTTGATGACCAATCCCATTCCCCTGCTGTGCAGACCTCGCCCACCCGCTCTGGCTCCCCGGCACCTGAGACAACAAATGAGAGTGTTCCTTTTGCTCATCACAGCAGTTTGGACTCTCGCATTGAGATGCTGCTGAAGGAACAGAGGTCCAAGTTCTCTTTCCTCAATTCAGACACAGAGGAAGAAGAGGAGGAGAAAGGGGCAGCCAAGGGAGCAGAGCCACATGGGCCCTGCACTCCACCACCACCTCTGCCAGTCAGCTTTGAAGATGTGGTACCAGCACTGGACCTGGGGTCAGGAGCAGAATCCCCCAAAGCCAACGGGCAAGATAAAGTAAGATACAAGAGTGTTAAATGTGGTATGTGTATGTGTATTTATCTGCGTGTTTGTCTCACTCTGTACATCTGTTTCAGTAGACACTGTATTGTGAGGACAGATGTAGAAAAACATATTGCACATAGTTTATACATGTACCCATGTGTTGATATATATGTGCATATTTCTAGGCGTAAAAGAGGTGTGTAAACATTATAGGTAAAAACAAAATACCGTAAAAGAGGTGTGTAAACATAGGTAAAAACAAAATAATAGTTTTTTTTTTTTTAAAAAGACAAAAATGTGGTGACAGTTTAAAGACTTTTACATTTTTAATGTGCGTGCCCGAGAGCGCACACACACCCCTGCGCACAGCTTAAAGACTTTTACATTTTTTTAATGTGTGTGCCCGAGAGCGCACACACACCCCTGCGCACCTGCAGGGCCTCCCCGCCTTCCTCAGAGGCTCAGCCTGTCCACGGTTCCAAAAAGGTTGGGGACCACTGGTTTAATTCCAAGAAAGCTCACATTAAAAACATTAAGATGCCACTATGTTTTTGTCTTTTTATTTGTTTTGTTATTTTATAAATTTTGTTTTTACCTACAGTGTGTATTTCTGTATCACTGTAACTCACTGCATTACATTTGCTAGCGGTTTACAGATTCTGAATGTGGCTCTGTGTAATAAAACAGTAACTTCCACACATAAGTAAAGAAGTGTCAGCAGATCTGGGGGGGAGCCCTTTTAAATGGTAGAAATGTATGCACCCCTGAACTGGTAAGTAAGAATTAGTCACGCTCTTCAGAAAAAGCTAACTCTGAGGTTCAGAAGGAAAAATGTTGGAGGGGGAAGGGCATGATAGTGGTAGATCTAGAAGGTGGCTGCCTAGCTGCAGTCTTGAATAGGAGTTCACAAGATGGCTTTTTTGTAGAGATGTTGTGTGTACATAGGCATACACGTATAAAGTGCATACACTCAGAATTCTACATTTAGTATATACTGAAATTATTTTTAAAACCTATTTCAGCTAAATGCACATTAATTCCTGCTAAAAGTGGGCACAATGAATGAATGAGACTTGTTAAGTCAATGTTTAAGCAAGTCCTGTTAATTCATTGAGTCTACTCTGTTAGTTATGGTGTGCTGTCCAACCTGTTCCAACATAGAACAACTTTAGTATGTTTTTGAAGCATGTGAGGTGTTCAGGGACCGGCTTACTATTGCTTCCCCACCAGTGAGTTTCCATGGCTGAGCAGGGATTTGAACTCGGGTTAATCTGTCCATTATAGTCTGTTAATTGTCCATTATAGGAGACAGGTATCTAGTTGTCTCATGTGCTCCCAAAGGCATCTGGTGGGGCCACTGTGAGATACAGGAAGCTGGACTAGATGGGCCCTTGGTGTGATGTTCTTATAGCGCACTGGCTCTTGAGTGTACTCTATCTGAGATTAAATTAGCTTGTAAACTTGCATGCTTGCTATAAATAGATTCAAGGATTTGTTTGTGTTTGCTGGTTTTGCAGATATTACATCATTGGAAATTTTGGCTATGACAATTAATAGTACTTTGATATAAGGGAATCAGATATGAAGAAACAGCAAGAAAAAACAGTAATAGAAAATTTAGTTTCTGTTGTAATTGGAAATAATTCCAGTGGTAAGAACCGGGCAGATAAAGTTCTGTTAGGCAGAAGAGAAGATAGTGATTTTGGAGCTAAAAGAGACAGTTGCTTAGATTGCATGCAGGGAAACATTTGACTTAAGCTATAAGACGTAAGACTGTTCGCTCATGATGCCACATGTCTCTTACTTTCTTTCTTCCTTTCAGGCATCGCAGCACTCATCAGGCGAAGACATGGAAATCTCTGAAGACGAAGCAGAAGTTGAGCCCCCAACACCAGTGGCTGGAGTATCCGAATCCCATTTTTCTGTGATGCCCTCAGCCCTGGGCCACATGCCACTGGGTGTCTCCTCTTTTACTCCTCATCACCGTCCGGAACCACCCCCCACCTATCCCATACAGCCCCTTATGTCTGTCTCTCTCCCACATTTGGCGGGTAAATCCCACTCGCTCTCCAATTATGGGCAGGTTGGCCCACGGCACGCTCACCGCCTATCGGATTTCAGGGGGAGGGCGGGGATGGTAGGTGGAGGCCGAGGGGCTCCCCACATCTATGACTTTGTCAACTCCATGGAGCTGATGAACCGCCTGGGCAACCAGTGGGGTGGGATGCCCATGTCCTTCCAGATGCAAACTCAGATGCTTAGCCGCCTGCAGCAACTGCGTCAGAGCAAAGGACAGTTTGAGGACCCTTTTTCCTACCACCGGGAGGCAGCAGCAGCTTTTTGTGGCCGGCCTCTCTACGGCCATGGCTATCTATTGGACCAGGGCAACCGCCACTTTCAGAGAGACCAGCTGTTCATGCAACAGCCATCAGCAGTAGGGGTCTCAGAACAACCTCACCACCAGCCACAGCATTCCTCAGAGCAGCCTCCTGTGCCACCTCCACAGCATCTCCTAGATTTCCAAACAGCCCCCTGGAGCTACCAAGAGGAAGTGGCTCCACGCCCACCACTCCCCAAGGACCCACATGCTTCCATAGTGGATAGCGTCCTTGAATCACTGATGCAGGAGATGAAGAGCATCATGCAGCGGGACCTCAACCGCAAGATGGTGGAGAACGTGGCTTTCAACACGTTTGACAAGTGGTGGGAGCGCAAGGAGGAGAAAGCTAAGGTGACTTGGGCAGAGCACTATATTCCTGGGCCTGGGTCTTGGGGTCAAATTGGGTGGAGGTGGGATTCCTAACTCTTAACTCAATCCAGGGGTTGAGGAAAGATTGGGGAGTGGGGAATCTAGTGACTAAGTTATCTGAAGGGACTTGCTTTGCAGCAGCTGCATGTTTCAGCAGGTCAATGCAGAAGGCCAGAGTGCTTTGTTTTCTCAGAATAGGGCCCAAAGGAATGTAGGTGGAGCCCAACTAGTATTTCCTGTACAATGGAGACTCAAGAGTTGCCAAAAATGTGGTGTGTTCTGCAGCTGCAGGGTACAGCTGAAATGGTGCTAGCTGGCTTTCTAGTGGGGAGGCAAAAGCCGAGCAGAGGCAGTCAGTGATATAATGAGTTGCAAATAAGGATGCAAGAGCTAAGTGGGCATGAAGCAGCAGAGAGGAACATAGAAACTGAGCAAATAAACCAGAACAGATTTTCTGAGCTTGCACGAATTGTGTGCACATTCACAGATAAACAAGATAATGTTTCAGTCATTGCTAAAACAGTTGTTTCTGTGTGCTTCCCAGCAAGTTCTCACTATACTCCTGTGAAAGATTTTATCTTCTCCCATAATTCTGTATCCTCCATTGCCCTCTGCCTGCACTGGTTTTGTTAATGCCTGGATCTCATTTTCTGCAGCCTTTCCAGAGTACTGTTAAACAGCCAGCCAAGGAAGATGAGAAAGACAAAATCAAACCAAAAGATCCTGCGCTGCTATCCCTAGTTGATTGGGCCAAAAGTGGCGGTACTGGGGGCCTTGAGGGATTTGGTTTTGGGACCGGCTTTCGAGGAGTTCTCAGGCTCCCATCCTTTAAGGTAATGCTCTCATATTTTTTGGATGGGGTGTATCTTTATTCTAACAGCAAGGTCTCCAGTTCTTGCTTCTCCTGGATCATGGTGAAGTGGGGTCATCTCTTAAGGGACTGAGAGCTTGTTTATACAGCTGGGCTAGAGTGGACTAAATAGTGTCACTGGGAGGTCTGGTATGCCATGTGGAGCAATCCTCATATCGAAATGACATACAGACCTCATTTACTCTATTTGGTCTGCTTTAAAAACTTTGTATTAGCTACCTGTATTGTGTATTACAACTTAGATATGTCTATTAAGTATGTGTATACTAATATGCTGCTCTTAAAGGTCCTGCCTGCAGCCTAAGATGTATAGAGAATACACATCTTAATACACATCTTCCTCTTGTCTTGGACAGATTTGGCTGTGTGCAGTTTTTTAAGAGGGAAAGAAAAAATCTTTTTAAAAAATTATAAGTGATGCAGCACATTTTTGCTGCCCTAATGGATTCAGAATCCCCCCCCCCCAATTTCCTCTGCCTTTCCAGCAAGGAGCAGAGGAAGTGTTTAATAAGCCAGTATCCTAAAGTAGCTCTCTTAAATCTTTCACAAAATGGCAAATTGACGGTGGAAGACTTTCTTCTGGTTTGTTTCTAGTGATTGCACGTGTTGGTAATGAACCAAAGCAGAGCAATCCTACATGTTTTTTTTAATGGAACCCCATTACAGTACCAGAAAGATGCAAGTAGGAGCACTTTAGAGGAGAACTGGTTTGTTTCAGCAAAGACATTGTTTGATTGTTGTCTTTAGTGAACAGACCCTGTAGCAAATCAGACAGCACGCTAAATGCCCATGTAGTCAGCCTCAAAGGCTCTGGTTCAAGTACTACTTCAAAAAATGGTGGCTCTCTGAGCCTTCTTAGCTCAGTGAACCCATCTCTTTTCTTGTTGCAGGTGAAAAGGAAAGAGCCATCTGAAATTTCAGAAGGTAGTGAAGTGAAGCAGCCACGTCCTTCCACTCCTGTTGAAGAGGATGAAGAGGGTTAGTGGCTTCATTCCTGGAATCTTATAGGCAGTTGTTAAATTTCTGTGATCAGTACGGAATGCCTTTGTCTTTTTATTTCCAAACAACCATTCTCCTTTCCCTTTCTACTGTGCAGATAAGGAGACTTCACAGGTACCCAAGTCGTCCAAGAGGGATGATGAGCGAATCAAAGGCCCAGGAAAACGGCGGAAACTTTTCTGCCTGGACAGTGAAGGGGAGGAAGCATCCGAGGACTCTTCTTCTGAAAAGGTAAGAGGAGGGGTTCCTTTTGAGTACAGTGGTGCCCTGCATAGCGACGATAATCCGTTCCGGATAAATCGTCACTATCCGGAAATGTCACTATACGGGGCAAAAAACTCCATAGGAACGCATTAAACTCCGTTTTTTGTGGGGACAAAACTCAACGCTAAGCGGAAATCATTATGTGATGCACCACTGTATTTCTCCTTTCAGTAGAAACATTTACTGGCAACTAGGGGCCAGATGCTTATACAATCACTCTCCCTTTATGTTCTGTTTCCCTCTCTGTTTGCTGGCAAAACCAGGATGAGGAATGGATGTTTGTTGCAGAACCTATAAACAGTCTCGATCCTGGCTTCTTGTTTACTTTTTGTGCCTGGCCAAGTGATCTCTGGAACCCTGACAGGCCTTTTCCTCTCCTTTCCAACACTTACCTTAAGCAACCATTTTCTCAGTTTGTAATGAATAAGTTAGAGCTTGGTGTGCTGTTGCTACTAGTTCTCCTCTCTCTGCACATGTTGGGCCACCTACCTGCTGTGACTGCTGGCAGTCTCTGAATCTTTCTCGTGTGTATTTTCTTGCCCATCTGCTTGCTCTCTACTGTTCTCCAGAAGCCAAGGCAGCCACAAAAAGAAAATCTTTTCCCTTTGCTATTCCAGTCCAGATTATTCTTCAGGGTTTAAATTTTGTTTTTCGACTAGTTTCCCAGCCACTCAGAGACCCAGGAGATTGAACTCATATTTATTGTATATTTGTTTCCCTTGACTATGGGCTTATTGGAGCATCCAGTTTTTAAGAAACTTTAACCCACTGTTTTCACAGGAGGAGGAGGAAGACCAGCAGAGGGAGAAAGGTGAAGGTGCCAGAGAACGCAGGACAAAAGCCAAGGAATCGGAAGGTATTTCCCAATTGGCAATGGGGTGTAGAGACCTCAAAAACTGGCAGTCTCTGGTGAATTGAATATATCATGAATGCTAACCAGAGCTCAAAAGCTGGTAGTCTCTGTGGTGAATTGAATATATCATGAATGCTAACCTGAACAACATCCTACCATGTCATGTGGAGAAGAGAGGTTTTAGGAACTTCTCTGTTGATTGTGGTATCTAATGGCTGCTACTAGCATTCAGTTGTGATGTGACCATAGCCTAGGTGTCATATGTTCTCAACCCCAAGCTAAATTTTGCATCCTGTACTGTATAAAACATGCAAATTTTGCTCTTATTTAAATGCATCTACTTTTTAAAAAAATGTTCTGTTACCAAATAAACACAGGGAACTGTGCAGGTCACCCTCGAGTCACCCCACACTCTGAGGTTTTCCTAGGCATTGACCATGCACTTTCAAGAATATCTTTGGAAGCCCTAAGCATAGACATGTACTTTTTGAGTCTTGTGGCGCAGTCGTTAAACTGCTCTACTGGAGTGAAGACTCTGCTCGCGACCTGAATTTGATCCTGGTGGGCTTAGGTAGCTGGCTCAAGGTTGACCCAGCCTTCTGTCCCTCTGAGGTCGGTAAACTGAGTATCCAGTGCACTGGGGGAGGGAACACAATGTATAGCCTGCATAATTAAATTGTAGACCACCCAGAGAGTGCTTTAAACATTGCAGGGCAACATATAAACACCACATGTTCCTTTTTTAACAAAAAAGCAGAAGCCTGAGTTAGTTTGGCAACAAAATTCTGCTTATATTTTTGTGTGCACAGCCACAGTGGCAACCTTACATACCTTTTTCCTTTTGTGCAGATGAAGGTGACAGTGATGCCTCCTCCAAGTATTCTGCTTTTGAAGAGTCTGATGAGGACAGTGACAGTACGTCAGACTCAGAAAGCACCACCTCCTCCTCCTCTTCCTCCTCATTGTCCTCTTCCTCTTCCTCCTCCTCCTCATCTGATGAGGAGGATGAGGATGCTGAGAGCATGGAAGGAATGGATGAATCTACCCTGGACAGCTGTTCTGCAGAGCCACTGAGGGTTCTTGAGGAGAGAGCACGACAAGCAACGGATGCTGAGATGACCAAAAAGAAACCAGAAGCTGCTCTCATACAAGGTGAGGTTCATAAACTTTCCTTCTACTTAGAGGAGGCCTACATAGACTTGCCAGTGTCAACGATTGGAGATGGGAGAGTGAAAACTTCAAGGCCAGGATGTGGACTGTTACGTTTGGTCTTGCTGGATTTAAATACTGTACACAAGGCTACTTCAATCACATGCTCCCTGTTCCAGGATAAATGCATGGCTTTCAGTGCTGTCTGTATACCGATGGCACGCTGCTCTACCCCTCTCACCACAGAACTTCCTCCTCCCATTCAGTCATCCTTCTTTGGATGTCTCCTTGATATTTCTGTGTTGATACTTCATCACTCTCTCACATTCAGGATGTGTGAGACCAACCAGATACATCTTTCCTCCCATGTCCTCTCTTCTCTTGCACTGTGGGGTTTTTTCGTATTGTTTTATATATATAAAACCTGCTTTATAGGTGGAAAGCTGCTCAGAATCATGTATGTATGTTTTTTAAATAAAAAGTCATAATATGGTAACAAAATAGTCAAGGCACTCAGTCCTTGCACTCAGGCATACAATCTAAAATATATACATGAAAAATATGCCTTATCCTTTGAAAGTGCCACAAGCCCACTGTGTTGATCAGCAAAATGTCTTGGCTTTTCTCTTTGACTCCTCCGCCCTGCTTTACTTTCTACATTCAGATTGTTGCAAAATCGTGTATCTCTCTTAGCAACATAAAAAATTGCCTATTGTGGTGTCCCCTCAATAAAAACTAATTTACACCCTTCTCCCCTGTTGCTATAAAATGAGCAAAAGGCAAAAAAGAGGCAAATTAATATACACTTTGAAGGCTAATAATTTTATTTCAACGTACATAAGCTTTCTTGAATCAAAATCCCTTTCCTCACACACACAGTACAACATTATTTTTGCCTGTTTTTCTCTTTTGCCAACACACTGAGACAGACTAATGTGGCTCCTTCACCCAGCATGGCATCTTCAGCAGGTCTGAGAACCAAATGTCTGATTTTGGGACCCTCCCAAGGCCATACACAGACTGCTAAAAATGCCACAAACACCCAGAAAAGAGAAGAAACCAGAAGAGTCCACATCCAGTTTTGAACAATGGTTGTTTTGAGTTGTTAAAGGGTGCCAATAGAGGGAGGGTGAAATGTGGCCTATTTAACGGGCTGTTCTTCTCTCCTACATCTAAAATTCACTTTTTGTGCTGATAAAAGGGGGTTGAGGGAGGATGGATGAACTTCAAAAACAGCTTTGGGGGAGCGTTTGCAGTCACAGCCTGTTTAAATTACGTTAAATTATGGATTTCACTTGTTTTATTTCTATTGTACTTATGGGGTCATTCTAATTTAGCTGTAAGCCCACTGGACTCCAGAGCCCAGAATTCTCCATTCTGGGAGTTCTACCTGCCAGACTTACATCATGCATACTTGGAGAAAGACTGGGAAGGCTTTCTGAACTAGGCTAGGCCAGGCGGCCTGTTGGGAAAGGTGCTACTGGCAGCTACTGCTCAAATGTGCATGCTTTTCAGGAGCGAGTAGAAATGTTATTTAAAATGCCTCAACCCCACTTTGAGATGCTTGAAGGATGGTGGGGATTCTGCGGGAGAGACTCATATGTTGAGGAATGGCGCCATGAATCCTGTCCAAGCTGACATTTTTATTTTCCACACATAGGCCACGTGGCGGAGGAGAAGCCTGGGCCTCAGAAGGATGCGACGCCAGTTCTGCGACTAGAGGAAAAGGATATGGGAACCATGGCAGAAGAGCGACCAAGGCCAGAAGAACGGCCTTCCTCACCCATCCCGCTTCTGCCTCCTCCCAAGAAACGGCGGAAAACAGTTTCCTTCTCGGCTCCTGGTGAGGATGATGAGTCAAAGGGGGCTTTGGAGAAACCAGCTGAACTGCTGCCGTCCGTCGTCATGCCCTCACCACCTGCTCCCCCTCCTCCTCCTCCTCCTGCCCCCACAGAGGAAGCACAGCCCCCGCCAGTGCCTGTGGAGCACAAGCTACAAGTGTCCTTAGCCCCAGAAGCCCCAACAACCCCACTTGCTTGTTCCCAGCCTGCCCCAGCAGCAGCACCCCCTGCTAAACCTGTGACTGTTCCCAGCCGCAAGCGGGAGCCCCCCAGAGCCAGCCAAAGAACAATCAGCAACCTGCCGGCCGACCACGCTTCCCTTGTGAAATGTTGGACGGAAGAATTCCTGCCGGCCGGCCGGTCCCGGAATCGCTCTCGTTCCCGGACTTCGGAGCCCCCCCGGCCACCCCAGCCCCCGAAAGAAAACAAACTGCGCACACGAGAGCAAATGGGGGCATCCTCGCTGCTTGAGTTGGCCAATCAGCCTGACCTGGCTGTGTTGGCCGATGTTGCTCTCAAGATGCCTGTCGGTGCAGGCGGTGAGGACTCGGAGGAGACAGAGACCTCCGATGAGGTGGAGGAGCCCAAGGCTTTGCTGCCGCCACCTCCCGCACAGTCCCTCGAAGTCAGTAGTATTTTGATGGAGCACAACTATGCCATGGCTGTCCGTGCAGCTCCAGCGGCTGCCTCCCACAGGCTGGAGGAGGCTGCGTTGGCCAGCTCTGCAGACCTGCTGCGGGTGGATTTGTATAGTGAGCCCATTGGCGAGATTCTGGAGGCTCCTGAGGAGGTGGTGGCAGATGCCAGTGAGGTCAAAACAGAGCCTGATGTGGGTGACCTTGTTGCTTTGCCCCCTGCACCTCCCCTGCCGGTGGTGGAGAAGCCCAAGGCCGCTGTGCCCGAGCAGCAACAGCACGCTAAGAAGCAGCTGCAGTGGCTCAAAGATGAGGCAATAAAGGACGCCGGTCCATTGCCATTTGGGCCTGAGGACCTGTTCCCTTCAGAGAGCGAGGAGGAGGAGGAAGAGGAAGAGGATGAAGAGAGCGCTGACAGCAGTGATGAAGGGGAGATTCGCAGGAGGTCCTTGCGCTCCCACTCGCACAGGCGCACCCCCACCCAGCCCCCTCCTCCACCCCCTGTCTTTGAGACACGCAGTGAGTTTGAGCAGATGACTATCTTGTATGACATCTGGAACTCAGGGCTAGATTTGGAAGACATGAAGTACTTGCGGCTGACCTACGAGCGCCTGCTGCACGAGGACAACAGCACAGACTGGTTGAACGACACCCACTGGGTCCACCACACAAATATCCTTTGTGGGGCAGAGGGCAGGGGATACCTGGGAGGGATCCATCCATGACTACAAACTTAAGGAAAGTACTTTCTGGACCCTAATTCCCAGCATCCCCTAGACAGCATGAGAATGGTCCTGCTCCTTTCACTTTGTTTAGTATCTGGCCTCTGCTAGGGGTCATAACTTCTACAACAGATGGTCCAGTGGCAAGGATTCTTATTGCCTTAATCTTAGTAAAAACCATAGATCTGTGGCTTCCACCCTGGGAATTATTTTCCGCTTGGGTTTAGTATTCCCAGTTAAGGAAATCCTCTTCTGCAAAAGTATGCTAGTACTTACTGTAAGTTTTACATCCTCTTCAAGGATAGGGGGCGTCCCCACCCAGACAGTTTGTCAAAAAGATACATTACACACACACAAAAAAGGGACAATTCCGGAGCAAATTGTTTTTCTCTGCTCTTGCTTTTCTGTTACTTACCTTTTCCTTCAAGATAGTTGGTGGGTTTTCTTTTTTCTTTCTTTTTCTTCTTGCATTTATTTATTTATTTTTGCTTGTTTTTTGGTATCTTCACCGCTGGAGAACAGATTGGAGAACTTGGGTTGCTCCCATTTGCTAGAGGGCGCTCCAGGTTCAGATGATTGATTTGAGAAGTCCTGCCTATTATAGTGAGTGGGAGGGGATATAGCCCATGCTAAAGATGTCCTCCTTCCTTGTAGAGAATGTATGACTTGTGATAAGTACCAGCACCTACTAAATACGAGCTATAGAATTTACTTGCCCCTGATTTGCAGGAGGGCAGAATACTAGAGACCCTGCGGCAGCAGAATGAGATCAGAAGTGAGAACACACACACACACTGATGGTGGCAGCAACTCAGACTCCTGATAGCTGGCTTTTTTGTTGGCATGTTTGCTTATTTATTTAAAATATTTTTACTCCGCCTTTTTATAAAAAAAGATCCAAAGTGGCTTGCATCCTTGAAAGACAATACCTAAAGCTGAAAACAATGAGTATGCAGTGGTGGTTTATGTCATTAAAAGACAATATTTAAACCTAAGAACAACAAATATAAAAAGGCAGCTTA